ATATATATATACACATACACACACATTTATTTTATACATTTGATCACTATATGTCACTTAATTTAGAAAGTGAATTTACTCAACATGAACACACTTCACATCAGTCTAGTTGAGGATACTATACACGTTATCATAAACAGAAAATCGTCCATTTTTGTGTCCCAAAAATGCCTTGCCTCTCTATTTTTCCCCTTGATTTCTTTCCTCACACTCTTCCCCTTCTCTCACCCTCTTCCCACACTGTCTCCAGTATCCATAACAATTTTCCATGCTTCTATATCCTCTAATCTTTTGGTTTCCATCGTAGAGTGCAGACAGTCAGTATATATTAAGTGGAGGCATACAATGTTTCTCTTTCATTGCCTTCACTCAGCAGTAAATCTTCCATATTCATCCACTTTAGTTCACTATCATTGTCCTTCCCTATCCATGTATGTTCTTCTTATTCTTATTTTGAACTTTGTTTACTTATCTTTTCCATGAGCAAGAGAGTGACAGAGACAGAGAGACAGCACTCTAACAAGACCTTGATATAATTTTCCACACCCAGCTTCAGCCAGCCCTGGGTCATGGATATTTACCAGCCTAATCTACTCAGGGAAGTCTACTGACACAAACCTTGAACCTTTATATGTGAGTCAGCTTTGGAGAACAGCATGTTTTACCACTGTACCACCATCTAGTCCCTGTCAATACATCTTAATCTTACCTACTATTTAGTTTTTATTCAGTGTTTCATAGTTTTCTCAACAATATCCTTTACTGTTAATTTGAACAGTTTCTAATTGAAGACAGAGCATTATTTCCAGCTATTAACTATCTTATTTTTTACTATCATACATTCCTATTGTAATTTTTTTAATAATTCTGTGACTAGCCACTGCTTTTCAAAATATTTCACCTCCTAGCTATTTCTAGTGTATTTTAGCTTGTTTATTTACTAGCATTTATTTTAGATTAACTCTTTTATTTATTTACTTACTTATTTTATGTTTTATTTTCTTTGAATTTTTGAATATATTCAATCACTATATATTACTTAGCTTATAAAGTGAATTTTCCAATATAAATGCATTTCACACTATTCCAGTTGAGGATACTATACACATTATCATCAACAGCTAATCATCCATTTCTTGTCCCATAAATGTCTTGCCTCTCTATTTTTCTTGTTTAAATTTTTAAATTTTAAATTTTATTTTTATTTTTAGTATTATTATCATTTATACATTGAATCACTACACATAATTTCAATTGTAAAGAGAGTTTACCCAGCATGATATACATACACCTCAGACTAGCCCAGTTGAGAATACTATACATATCATCATCAACCGGTAATAAACCAAAACTGCATCCCACAGATGTCTTACCTCTTTATTTTTTCCCCAAATTTCTTTTCCTACACTCTTCCCCTCTCCCACTCTCCTTCCACTTTGTCCCTAGTGTCCATAACCATTTTCACAGCTTCTATATCTTCCAGTCTTTCAGTCTCTACCATAAAGTAAAAAACAGATGGTATATGTTAAGTGGAGACATACAATGTCTTTGTTTCATAGCCTAATTTGCTTGAGTCAGCAATAAATCTTCCATATTCATACACTTTCTATCAAATACCAGGGTCTTGTGTTTTTGTTTGTTTGTTTTTTATGGCTGAAAAGTATTCTATGGAGTATATGTGCCACACTTTTTCAATTCATCCATCTGTTTGTGGACATTCGGGTTGATTCCATGTCTTAGCAAATGTGAATAATACAGATGGGCAAGCGCTTTTCTGATTGAGTGTTCTCCTGTTCTTTGGGTAGATACCCAGGA